GTTTGGTAACTGTATTGTAATACTAAATATGAACTTATTATTGTGTTGCAAATTAGATCTACGTAAAACTGTAATGTTGCGCAGTGAAAAAAAAAACAACCCTACCTACAAATAAAATAAAATAAAAATAAAAAACGAAAAACACAAAGTTTATGGATGAATGTGCTGCACTAATTATCTCTCGCACAACCGCTCAACTGTGATTTTACCTAACCAGCTGACACCTGCAGTGTGCTTATAATATTATTATATCGGCACCGATTGTACTGTGTTAGAATTAATGTGGTAGTGTTATTAATATTATAAAGAGTGAATAAGCGGGTGGTTGGCGGGTGCTCTGCTTATTGTGGTTTGCCCCCTTCTTCCCTGTCAACATCTTTTCGTCCTGATCTCTCCCCCTTCTCTGTTTTTGTGTTTGTTACTCTCTTGTGACAGTTCTAATCTTTGGCACTAATTTGACTTCATTGTGTTGCAAGTTCCGTAAAGCTCAAACTCTAACTCAAACTCAAACTAAAATAGAGTTGAAATTGTGATACAAGTTGTTTTAATGTTTCAATGTTATAATGCTCCACGTTTTCTAGTTTCAAGCATGCCTGAACTCTATACTATAAACTATACTAAACTCTATAAACTACCACAAACTCTGTAGACTATAATAAACTCTATAGACTATAATAAACTAAACTAGAATAAACTCTATAGACTATGATGAACTCTATAGACTATATAATAAACTCAATAAACTATAATAAACTCTATAAATTATACTTAGTAAACTCTATAAACTATAATAAACTCCATAAACTATAATAAACTCTTTAAACTATAATAAATCTATAAACTCTAATAAACTCTATAAACTAGAATAAACTCTATTGACTATAATAAACTATAGACTATATATTATAAACACTATTAACTCTAATAAACCCTATAATGAACTCTATAAACTATGACAAACTCTGTAGACTGTGCTTTACTCTATAAACTGTAATAAACTCTATAAACTCAATAAACTCAATAAACTATAATAAACTCTATAAACTCAATTAAACTATAATAAACTCCTCCCACGACTCCCCGCCTCTCCGTAGCGCGGCGGGTGGGTGGTCTTTTCCCTGGGAGCTCCGGCACACTCAGACACATACAGACACAAACAGGCACACAGAGACACACACAGACACAGTGAGACTGACACATCAAGACACATTCAGCGGGCCCCCCGGCGGGCTGACACAGGGTAAACACAGAGGAAACCCGAGACACAGCCAGTTGGCCGGCGGCTCCCCTTTCCTTGAAAAATCAACCCAGCCTGACTGAAAAGTGCCAGTCTGCGGCTGCTTCATCGGCTTTTGCGGTTTACCTTACAAGTGGTTTATTTTATTTACATGTATTTTTATTTTTTTATTTTTGGTTTTTGTTATTGTTATTAAATTTATCTTTTAAAATGGTTTTGTGGGTGGTTGGCGGGTGCTCTGGTGCGGTTTGCTCCTTCTTTCCTTCCTATCTAACTTCTTTCGTCCTGATCTCTCCTTCTTTTTTATGTTTGTTACTCTCTTGTAACACCTCTAATCTTCAGCACTTATGTGACCTTATTGTGTTTCAAGTGCCGTAAAACTCTTACAAAAACTGTTTGTTTTTGTTTATCTTTTAAAATGGGTTTGTCTGTTTGATTATAGTGGCACTGTGACATTATGATAAATAGATTTCCGATCAGGATTAGGATTTGTTGTCTGTTGTTTATTTTTAGAATTAGTGATTAGTGGTTGAGTTACTGCGCTCTCTTTCCTTTGAAATCCCAGCGGCGTGTAAACTACGATGTGAGTTGGTTGTATATTCCGGATTCAACTTGTTGTAAGTCCCATGAAAAGGAGGAATTGATTTAATTTATAGGAATGACTAGATCTATTTTGTTAGATTTCTCACATTTAGACTCTTCGTCTTTTCCTGCAGTCTCCTGTGTTTCATTAAATCGGTGATGAATGTTTTCAGAAAGCGCTGCATTGTCGGGTTAATTATTGTTGTTGCTGTTTTGTTTTTTTAACTTAAAGAAGCTCTGGTGTGGTTTGCTCCTTCTTTCCTATCAAACACTCATCGTCCTTATCTGCTCTCCTCTTTCTTTTTTGTGTACGTTACTCTCTTGTAGCATCTATTCTGCGGCACTTATATTATGACCTTATTTTGTTGCAAGTGCCGTAAAACTCTTACTAAAACTAAAAACTTAAAGCAGGAGCTGTCTTGTCAGGTGTATGGTTACAATTGATTGTTTTGTTTTCTTGAAATGATAAGAACACACTCATCAAATTCTCCGCGAGGGTATTTATTTTCTATCTGTCTGCCTAAGACATTCAGCTTTGTCTAGATCTGTGACTGTCTATCCATGACTAAAGAAGGGTGAGTCTAGAAGTAATGAATTAGCGATTAAGTCATCCGGAAATCACAAACTCTCACACCGGTGTGTTACCACAATAACTGTAATCGTGCTTGTTAATTGATGACGGTGGTGAGAACCAAAGACAAAGAGATACGAGGTATATAACCTCTAGTTCATCTGTGTAGACACTCGACTCCCTTCGTCATTTAACTACTTGGCACACAACACACGACACATACAACACGCCACACAGTCCAAAAATACTACCGTTGTTGTTGTTGTTGTTTGCTGTGGCGGCTGAATGCTGACGCTGCTGCTGTTGCTGCTGTTGTATAGACCCGTCGACCAGTGTGGGGGGTTATTCAAGTGAATGGGCGCTCAGTCATTGTTTCGCTGTTATTTGGCATCGATCTGGTATTATCATAATCCACACATATTGAATTATACACTTGCACCCCGGCTCCCACACACACTCTCTCTTTCTCTCTCGCTCTCTCTCTCTCCCAACAACACGGCACTCCAAGCAGTCCTCAAGGGGAAAGAAATAGAGAGAGGGGGCCGAAGAGAAACGGAGAAATTTGCCCATTTACTGGTGGTAGCGGGTCTTTCGTCTTCTCAGCTCCCCCCGTCAATCAAACCTCCGTGTAAGGGGCGGGGCCATGACGCGCTGGAACCACCCTATCCGCCAATCAGCGCCCGGCACGGGCCGTGAGGCGGGCTGGAGGCTTGCCGGGAGTGAGGGGCGCCGTGCCCCCACGGGGGGACTTGTTGCTGGCGCGCGGCGTGACTGGCCCCGCCCACTTCTGCCAATTGTTTCAAGGAGTCCGAGCGAGCGCCAGAGATCTCTTTTCGTCGTATTGTTACAATGTGTGGATTGACTGCTGCTGTTTGCTTGCCGCCAGTTGGGTTGATATCTCTGCAAACAAGAAGATTATTTATCCCCCCCCCCCTTTTATACACTCTTCTTACATTTTTAAAAAGAAAAATCCACCCATACCCTCACATCATTATGTGTACACACACTCGCTCTACACACTCTTAATAGAAAAAAACAAACAAAAACAAAGACAAAAACAAAAACAAACGCCCAAAACAAAACAAACAAACAAACCACCCCCCAAAAACAAACAAACAAAACAACCAACACGTTTTCTTCACAAGTGAGTGCGACGAATGTTTGAGATTTTAAAACACGTCTCTCAATACTCACGCTCACGCTTTCACTTAATGACCAACACTATAATAATTATTATAAATTTGTACTTCTTATTAAACAAGCTCTGACCGTTTGATTTTAGTGTTGCACTAACGCATCAGTCCAGCAGCTCTGGGGGTGGTTGGCGAGTGATCTGGTGGGTGTGGTTTGCTCCATCTCTCCTACCAAACATCTCTACCTTCCGTATTATCTCTCCTCTATCTTTTTTGTGTGTTTGTTACTTTCTTGTAACACCTCTAATCTTC